GGGGGGGGGGGCGGCCAGGTAGAGGGGATCAATGGCGGGTGGGAAGGGACATCTGTAATACATTTGACAATAAAGATATTTTTTTTTTAAATGCACATAATAAGAGCTCCATAAAAGTGAAGATCAACAGATGAAACGAAAGATAAGATGGTGCCACAGATGAAGTCAGAACCCTAACGGTAGCCCATCCGCGTTTAAGTATTTCCCCTCTTCTAAAAATTACTCAGCACTATTAGGAATATAGTTCTGGGGTAGATAACACACCAGGATCTTAAAATGGGGTGTCGTATTTTGCAATCATGCTTACCTTTCTCTCTCGATACTCAGAAAGCTTTTGGAAAACATCTTGGTTTCGTGCCCCAGTTTGCTGGTCAATGCAAATCATCTGGCATCTGTGACAAGGCCCCAAAACCTGGGAGGTGAGGACAGAGAAGACAGCGTTGCCATGAAAGTGACCAGACCCTCCGACTCTGCAGGGAGGACTCTGGGTCCAGGAGGACTTGGGCTGTAAAAGGCGGCCCTGGGCCAATTTCAGACTTACACAGAAATGCTCAATACTCTGCTCCTAACTGTAAGGAGCCAGAAGGGGGCATCTCTTCCCAATGCCACTGGGGAGTCACAGTATTTGTTTTTCAGCTGAAAGGTTGCTGTTTCGGGGCTTTGCGGAGAAACAACAGTGGTTGTGACTCTCAGGTGGTTATTGGAGAATGTTAGGATCCTCCGGCAAGAAAAGAGCTGACTGACTGGAGGGCAAACTGGGAAAAGATAAACAGCCACAGACCCGGCACTGGGTCTCTGTGAGGAAGCCATTGGAAAGAACCTGAGTGTGTCCATGTCCTTTGACCTAGCGATTTCAATACTAGGAACTGAACCTAAGAAAAGAATCAGAGGTACAAACACAGATTCATGGACAGGGACATTTCTGACACTATCTGTAATAGGGAAAATCTGGTAGTACCTTCAACACCAAATAGGAGAGAAAATGTTTAAGCCAACCACGCCACACGGGTATGGCATATATCATGCAGGTTTTAAATTAATCTACCAAGGGCTTTTAAAATGGGAAATGTATATTTTTACAACTGAAATAAGCAGGAAACAAAATTACATGTGTATTCTTTTATATGTGTGTATACACACTTTAATGGCTGATAGCTCAATTTTGAAAATGAAATGTATTTTAATAAACACTGCCTTCATAATTATTCAAAAGTGTGTGTATACATTTGGGGGGACATCCTCTGTACATATATATGTACACATATACACACTACATAAAACACAGTACACGGCTTCTTAGCAGGGGTCATACTTCTATTCTGGCTGACGCACCATGAGCATGAATTGTTTTTATAGAAAGAAAATCCCCCATAAATGTTAACATAAAAAAAGAAAGAATGCAGCTCAGCAGTGACACGATGCTTTTTTATTGCACACAGAAAAGGTGCGAAGCACTTGATTTTCTCATAACTATTTTCTCCTCTGCTCACATGTGGACAAGCACAAAATGAGCAATGAAATTAGAAACACTCAAGTCTGGATGTGTCTTGGCCTCTACCTATCACTGGCTGTTGGGCATTAAACCAGAGGAAATATAACCTCACTGTGATACCAAAGGCAAGATTCCAGGCCTTTAAGCAGCTGGTGTGCCGTCAAGGAGCTCTGCCGGGTGTTTACCTTGGGACACTCGGCAGACCTGTGACCTCGACAGGCCTCAGTTTCTCGTCCAGCTCCTTCACTGGATTTGATAAGGAGTCCAGATACTATTTCTGAGAAGCCAAGCCCAGGCCTGGCACTCAGTTGTGCTCAAACGTGGAAACTATCATTATGATAACACAGGAAGCCCCGAGATAGTCAATTTATACAACTGGCTAATGGCACTACTATTATTAAAGTGAGTTCATGCCCCACTAAAGAACTGGGCATGTTCTGTGGTGACCCATCCCTCTGTCTTTAGCTGTTCCTTACCTTTCCTGTCCACTCATTACCTCAACAATTATGGAGCACTGACTCTGGGCCTGGACTATTCTAGTCCTGGAGGTATAGTAGGGAACAAAACAGACTTGGTCCCCACCCTCGTATGCTCTGAAGGAAGCAGCAGGTACTGTGCAGAGCTTGACCACATGGTGGGTCAGGAACATCCCTTCCAAGGAGGGAACATCTGAGCTGAGACCCTGCAGCAGTTGCTGAAATGCCAGGAAGAAGGGGCAGCCAGGGCAAAGGCCCTGAGGCAGGAAGCTTGGCTTGTTTAGGGAAGGGAGAGAAGGTGGATATGGCGGGCAGAGGGGGCGGGGTGATGAGCTTGGAGAGGCTGGAGAGTTAGGGAAGGATGATGGGCTCAGGTCTGGGGGACGGTTGGAGGGGGAGCCTCATGCTCCCAAAGCCTGGGGAGAGCAGGCATCCCGGTGGCTTTGCCACTGACTGCATGCTCCTCCCCAGCAAAGCAAGAGCTAGAGGCTGGAGCATGGGGAGAAGGTGCAATAGCCATTGCACTGAAGGACCACTGGGCATCTGAGGTCCTCCTCCACGAGCTTTGGACAGTCAAAAAGTCCAACAGGTTCAGCAGGACAGACTTCTCATAGACACACGCGTTCCAAGGAAACAGAATTTAAGCCTAGGCACAATAACAAGGTGGGGGCTGCACCGAGCCCCCATCAGCTGCCTGGGGCACACTTTCTCTCCCTTATGTGAAACCGGCCGCTGCACCCTCAAGGGGAATAAGGGATGGGTCATCCCAAGGGGCGCTGCAGAATGCACATGACACATACCCTCCTGCTGAGGCTTGTAGGTAAGAGTCAGAGACTTGGAGGGATCCCCACTTGCCCCCATCCTGGCCGAGGATTCAGTCTCCAGCAGCCCTTGAGGAAGGATAACAGAACTTCCCAGAACTCACCTGGAAACGTAAGGAGCCAACTGAAATCTCCTCCCATTTCTCTTCTTCGAAAGCGCTTGTTCCGTTGCTAATAATATTGGCACGGAAACGTGAGATGAGATCTTTCATCGGGAATAATTCCTCCTTTCCATTCTCATCACTATTTAAGACACACCAATAAAGGAAGGGGGAAGAGGTCGATAATTACGCTGCAGTAATAATGCAATGTTCCTACCACTCAAAACCTGGCTTCAACTGTCCTCTGGCCCGAGGCCTGGATGCTCAGAACAAGCTTTTACCGTGAGGCCAAGAGGCACCCACGTGTTACACAGATCTCAGTGGTCTTTAGGATATGGCCCACATCTGGGGAGAGGCCCACAGGAGGCAGTACAAAGGGTGAGTAGATCTTTGTTTAAGATATGAAGGATTTTGGAAACCAGGTGAACAGAGGTCGAGGAAATTAACTTCTGAGAAAATTCCAATTCTACAAGGTGAGTCAGGATAAGGCACTGAAAGAGTGTCAAGCTAAATTACCAAGACATCACACTCTTTGGGGATATTAAAACATCATAAAGCAATATAGGGCAGTGGATATTTATTTCCTAACTTCCATTGTTTGCAGTTTTAACTAGCATATGCTAATCTTATCATTCTTGTTTAAAGTTTTTGTTTACGGCCACGAGGTCCTGTAAAATGGCTCTCTGCACGTCCACGCACCCCCTCCCCTAAGGAAAAAAAAAGCACTAAAAAAGCATCTGAAAACTTGACAAAAGAGCACACTGCTTTATCTCATTATACTGAGTTTAAGAACAGGTGAAACTGTCTACAGCAAATAAGTCAGAACTGTGGTGACCTTCAGTGGGGTTGGCTAACAGGGTTAGAGGGAGGTGTCTGAGGGACTAGAAATGTTCCCTACTTGACCTGGGTGTGGTTCCGTGGTATATACATCAGTAAAGTTCACTGAGCTGTGGACTTATGATTTTTGCATTCTGTTGTACTTCAACAAAAATATTTTTAAGTTAAGTTGGGAGAAATCCTTGGGTATGACTGAAATTTTCTCTGGAGACAGAACTGAAAGGCTCTAGGGGAAGAAAGGGTCCGCAGCTGTATCCCAGGCCCCTTCCCAACAGTGAATGGAGTGCGGACAGCCGGGAACAGGGTGGCTAAGTCGAGCTTTGCCTCTAACAGTGCAACTCCCATGACCTATGAGGACCACAGTTTCCTCATCTAGAACGAGAGGGTTAGCACTTGCCAGCCTTAAAATCCTTTGATTGTGGATTTACCCTCCAGGTTATAAACCTTCCTTTTGTGTTTTATGAAAGGGAAAGTTTCATGTCCCAAAGCTACTGTGGTCAGCATGTACATGACAGCGGCCAGCAAATTTTAAAATAGAACACAGAGATACACCAACCGGGCCCCCAGGGACAGTCACCAGGTATTAGCCATGGGCTGTTCCTCTGGCCTTAGATCACGTGTCCCACCTATCCCTGGGTTGTCAGCCATGCATTAAAACAACTGGTTGGAAACGTGGTCCCCGCCTGGTAGGAACCAGGGTTGCAACAAGCCTGTCTCTACCTATTATATTTCTATACCAAGAACCCCAGAAAACCACAGACCTGCTCCCTCCAGCTCTCTGGGTACCTGAAGAGGAGGGTCACTCAGTGCAGCTAAAACTCAGTGGACACCCAGGGACCAGGCAGCCCTATCACACTTCTGCTCCCAAGAAGGGCGAGCTGGACCATAGCAAGCGAATAGGTTGTATGTTTTTGCCAACGACTATAAACAGGAATGACTACAGTCAATCTTTGTCACATTTATTAAGCTATACTTGTATATCTTTGTGAGTGTGCACACAAACGCACAGGAGCACGTGGCACGTGAGAGTCACAGGATCCCCAGCTCACAGTGCTGACAGGTGTGTGCCTGCCTCTCTCTGTCCTGTGGACTAGGAATGAGCAGCCCAGCTCTCGCATCACAGTGGGTTTTTTCCCCAAAAAATTGTCTGATAACTTTGGGACAGCAATTTCCTCTAAAAAACAAAGAGAGGGATTGGACTAAGCAAGACCCCTTCTAGAGCTGACCTCTTATTACTGTCAGGGCCTTTGGGAGAGTACTGGGTGAGAGAGGCAGAGGTGCTAGTTCTGTCTGATGGTACAAACAAGTAATATCTACCATGACAACTGTAAAAGCTTCCGTAACCACGCTTCTTTTCCCTCAAAAGCACGGTGGAAGTAGAGCAAGGCTCCTAGGGGACAGAAGACACTGGGAGGGTGGGCAACCTAATTAGATCAAGTTGATGGCAATTCCATTAAAACAAATGTAAAGAAATGAAAGGATTAAAAAATGAGAATTGGGGTTCCCTACGAAGCATTTTGAGGGCATCAAGAAGGACATTGGAAGATAAAATGAGAACCCTCGAAAAGATTAACGGAAACTTACCTAAAGGGCTTTGTGGTTTCTCTGGTCTCAGTCTCTTAATGAAGAGTCTAGACTCTATGACTCCAGGAAATTTTCTCCCCGGGTAGGTGCCAGGCTCACTTGCAGGGGCAAGTGGTTATACCTCTATGTTATTCTCGAGCTAAAGAGCAAATAGTAAAAGGATCTTTCTTACCTGGCGGTTAATTGCTGCTGAAGTTCCAAAATGCTGGATCTGTTTATCAGCAAATACTGGGCCTCATTCACCAGAGAAAGAGTGGCTGTTGTACCAGCAGACGGACCTAGAAGTGATGGAGTATTTGAAAGAAGAGATATGGAAACAACCTAAGAGTTCATCGGTGGATGACTGGGAAAGAAGATGTGGCATATATATACATACACACACACACACAATGGAATATTATTCAGCCCTAAAAAGAAGGAAATCTTGCCATGTGTGATGGACCTAGAGGGCATTATGTTAAGTTAAATAATTCAGACAGAGAAAAACAAATACCATATGATCTCACTTATATGTGGAATCTAAAGATCAAAAACTAAAACAATCTCACAGATACAGAGAACAAATTGGTGGTAGCCAGAGGCAAGGGGCTGGATGTAAGCAAAATGGATGAAGGGGGTCAAAAGGGAAAAACTTTCAGGTATAAAATAAATAAGTCCTAGAGATGTAATGTACAGCAAGGTGACTATAGTTAATAATACTGTATTGCATATTTGAAGTTGATAGAAGAGTAAATCTTAAAAGTTCTTATTACGAGAAAAAAAGTTTTGTAATTATATGTGGTGACAGATGTTAACTAGACTTCTGTGGTGATAATTTCACACTATATACAAATTGTGAATCCATTATGTTGTACACCTGAAACTAATATAATGTTATGTGTCAATTATACCTCAATAAAAAGTTTTTAATAATATTAAATTTTTAAAATTTTTAAATAAAATAAAAGAAGAGGTGCTTTCTTGGAATGCAAATGAATCATGCTCTGTTGACTTGCATGTTTTAAAAATAGAGACTATTTCTACAAGGGGGAAAAATGGAAATAATAAAAATGTCTTAAGCATGGTCAAACCTCTCAGAAACAAAAAGAAAATGAGCTCCTAGAATACTGTTAATAATCTGGGGGGGAAAATGCTAAAGTGAAACTGTTCCAGCAAAGAAGACTTGGAGGCAACATTCAGAAGAGGAGAGATGGGCAGTGGGGTGGAGCTGGGAGCCTTTCCCTGGGACAGGAGGGGAACAGGGCCTCAGTGAGGGACACAGGCCAGGAAGCTCTTCTGAATCTCGTGAGGGAAAAACTGTTTTTTGCCCTTGGCCAAGTGTGAAATATTGACTTTAGAAATAAATAATATAAGTTTTAAAACTACTGAAAGGGAAGAAAAAAGAGTGAAAGAAAATATCATATATGTCCAGAACTGCTGGAGGCCTGTGGCCTAGCTTCCATCTCCCCTGCGTGGCACCCGTCGTCGCTGTCTTTATCCAAGATGCTGATGAAAAGGTTTGGCTGGACCAAAGTCTAGTGAGCTTTCTCCAAACCAGGTCTGAGGACCCCGGAATACATGTGAATGGATACTTCCAAGAGAATCACTTTCCAGACCCTTCACTTCCAAATGTCCTCTTTGCTACAATGACTCTGTCAGAGAAGGGGGTGCAATCCCAGCCCCCTCCACAAAAGGCCTTTCTCCCACTCCTCAGAGGAAAGGCTCCACCTCTCCTTGGACTAAAAATCTCCAAGATGGAAAACAAAAGCCCCATTCAAAACCCTGGGGTCTGGGCTGAGATAACAAAAGTCTCTAAATTTGGGGTGAATGATCCTCCTGTAGGTCAAATGGCTTCCAATTCTTTGCTCTCCATAAAACTGTCACACCTAATTAAGCTGTCAAGTGACATGATTAAAGTCATCTTGATGTTAGATTCCTGTGTCTCAGAAAAAAGGTCTGAGTGACAGTGGGTTAACCAAACCCCTTTCAGCCTGGTCTCTTTATTCACTCCAATAAGGTTTTTCAGGAGAGAATCAATGCTGAGCACCAGCCATTCTGGTCACAGGTGACAGTTATTCATTAATGTGGGAATTAATGGTGGGGGGCCCAGTCATCTCATTAAGAGATTTGTTTTCAACAATGTTTTCACTATCTTTTGAAATTTTTAATATACATTTGTTGCTTTGATCAACTGTATATTATTAAAAATTATGACAACTCAACCTAGAAGTTATTTCCTAACACTTAGACTCTTATGATCACAGTAAACTCTACAGATGTTTATACATTCCAATTTATATAGAATCTTAGTTTCAGATAAACATAATAGGGTGATCAAGGAAAGATTTTCAAGCACAAAATATATAACACTAAGATAAAATCCTATTTAAAAAGTAGAATGGAACTATAAGTTAAAGAAGGAAAAGGAAAGATATAAAATTTCTGATCATTAAAAGACAGTTTGTATATATATATAAAATGAATGTTCATGGGAATCAAATCATTATGATATTGAGATTCCACTGGCTAATGTTTAAAAGGATGATCTATGGGTTTTAACTTAAATTAATACATTTATAATATGCTAGAAATTGTCCAGACCTCTACACACTGGCCCAGGCAGCTGACTCCTCAGCAGGGTGAGAGCTCAGCAGGGTGGGGCAACAGGGAGCTCAGAGGGTGGGGCTACTGCATTCCCCTCCCCTGAAGCCGTATGGAGGGGGCTGCTCCACCCAAGAAAGATGGCATCTGAGGTGTAGTCGAGGGACTCAGCACAGGGATCCTGGCAGGTGTCCCTTAAGCTCTCTCCCCAGAGCCACAAACACCAGCCTCTCCTCACAGGACTCTAGGATGCTCCACACTCCCTCCACCGGAGCCCAGGGTGAACAGCTACAAACACGATTTTGTGCACTGGACCTTTAAGAGGACACCTGTGTCTCTAGAAGACTGCTGTCTTTCCCTGGTGGACAAAATCCCAGCTGCTTTTCATAGTCAGATGTTACATGCATGCCTCTTCCCGGCTCTGGTGCTCTGGGCTGGGGAGCCCAGTGTGGAGCTGAGACCCCAGGCTTCTCAGGGGAAACCTTTGCAGCTGAGATATCCCTCCGGAGTCTCAGCCACTGCCTGTGGTACTTGCAGAGCCAGCCCTTTTTACATCTCTGCCCTTCCTACCAGTCTGCATGTGGCTTCTTCTGTATATCCTTGGTTATAAGACTTCTTTTCAGCTAGTCTTCAGTCGTTTATCCAGGTTGAATGTTTAATAATTTAGTCATAATTCCAGTTTGGTCCTGGGAGGAAATGAGTGTACCTTCTACCTACTCTGCAGCCAGCTTGGATTCTCCTTTAAAATTCTTTTTAAAATTTAGATGACAATGTAAAAATGTATGAGGAGGTAATGTAGCTTTTTAAAAAAATTCTTCTGCCCAACCGGCTGGCTCAGCAGTTGAGCATCGACCTAGGATCCAGGAGATCAAGGTTCGATTCCCAGTCAGGGCACATGCCCAGGTTGTGGGCTCGATCCCCAGCTGGGAGCGTGCAGGAGGTTCTGATCAATGACTCTCTCTCGTCATTGATGTTTCTATCTCTCTCTCTCTGAAATCAATAAAAATACTTTTAAAAATTCTTCTAACACGTACCAATGCAAAAATGTTCAAAGACCTGAGACCTAGACCATCCGAGACCTCGCCTCCATAAATGCATCCTTGAAGTGGAAATACTCACAACCTGACACTCCCTGGTCCTGTACTGTGCACGCAACAGGCTCCTCCCAATGCCCACCTTTGCCTCACCCAGGCCCCCAGGTCCCACTAGGACAGTCACAGCCATCTCCTGTCTACCCCTTCCCTCCTCTCCCTCTCTGATGCGGATGCTACCTCCATACCATGCCAGGAGTGTCCTTCTAACACAAGCAGCACCATGAAACTCCCCAGCGTGGAATTCTTCAATGAGTTCCCCCAACCGTAAGATAGTACTTACTGACTCCTCAGCAGCACATTCATCCCTTCAGCCCAGCTCCGCCCCATTACTCCCCTAGCCACATCCAACCCTCCTAAACTCTTCCCTGAGCCCATGAAATGCCAAGCCCTGCCATGCTTCTCCGAGTAACCTTCCTGCCTCTCTACTAAAACTCCCACTCTGTTAAGATGCAGCTCTAAACTCACCTCTTCCCTGAAGCCCTTAGGGACTCACTCCAAGTATAGAGGATGCTTCCCCCATGCCCATTCCCTTTGCATAGACATTTACTGCAGTGTTGCTGTCTGCCGGTGAGTTGTTGCCTCTAAACTGAGATCCAGAAAGATCACGACCATTGCTTAATAATCTCAGCCAGCCTCCTGAGGAGCCAGCTAAACCCAAGGTAAATGGGAGGTGTTATGAATAATTAGAACTTATTCAATAAGGTGATTTATAAGGGTAGCACAGGTCCTGATGAATCCCACTCCTTGTGTGTCTCTACTCATGAAAATGCCCATTGCTCTCTCCCATTTAATCATGTCTCTAAGCTAACCCCCTGCCAAACACCACCAGCTTACCTCCTCAATAAAAAGAGCATAAATGTATTCCCCTTCTCCATGACATAGCAACTCGAATTCTTTAATAGCTCATGACATGAAAAATTGTCAGAACTTGTAAAAGTCTAAACAGATTACATCTTTGATTTTTCTCTCTTTCATACACTTTCAGGGATTCATAGGTTCACCTGTGCAGGTCCCAAGACCCCATTACTGGTCTCTGTATGACCAAAATGCTATTTGGGTTTACAAGCCAGTGTCTCTGAGAGCTAATCATTAGGACAGGTCATCCTTGCACAAGCCAGTAACGTAGCAATGACCTATGCTTTCATTCATCTAGTATTTACTGAGCAATTACTATTTGCCAGGTGCTGTTCTAAGCTTGGGGGATATAGCACTGAACAAAGCAGACAAAAATCCCTGCCCTCACAGAGCTTACAATCTAGTAGAGGGAAGGCAGGACACACGCAGTATAACAGTAAAATGCATGGCCTATAGGACGTGAACAGTGCCACAGAGAAAAATAAAACAGAGAAAGGAACTGGGGAACTTCAGGTAAGGGTGTTGGTTCTAAGGAGAGAAGCCAATCAAGGCCTCCCTAAGAAGACAAAATTAAACAGACACCTGAAAACGATCCGTTCTTTCTCTATGATACTGTTAATGTTCAAAGTACTTTCTTCTCTGCTGTCTCACTTCGTCCTAAAAACAGCTTGTGGCAGGAAAACTGTGTTAAAGTCTAAGTAGCTGAGGTCTACAGAAGTTGAGGTACCAAGGATTTCCCAGGGTCCCAAGCCATTTAGAGATACAGCCAAGACTAGAAACCCAGGCTTTCTTAGGACCTAGCAAGCTACCGATGTTTTATTTAATAAAATGAAATTGTGCCTCTAAATACACATGGCTGAGGCAGAGTGCTTGAGCTGAGGCCTAGCGGCTGCCTGGGAGCCCACCCCAGCCTCTCAGGGTTCTTCTGGACACCACACATGGGCCCTGCTGACCTGGGGATACCAGGGACCTTTCTGCCGAAGGTGGACCACCCCACTTTCTCTACATGAGCAAGTGGCCCGTGACTTCACCTCATGGGCTGACTTGGATTTATGCAAAGGTAAGCCCGAGTTCCTGTACCCTAAGGACCAATCTGAAATGTGATACCTTTGCCACGTGTCTTCTTCGAATTTCTTTGAAAGTCTGAACTTTGTTTGATCAAATGACATGGACGGCCCAAAAACTTTGACAACCAGCTTGAAATTTTTTCTCCACAGTCATAAGTATTTACCCTGACAAAAAAAA